TTCATCAAAATCCGTTCAACAGTATAGGCGTCATACCGTAACAAACAGTAAATTGCAAATATTAAAAATATTAGGTTTTTACAATGTATGAACAACATTTCAATGGAAATCGTACTACACGATATATTATGTATATACTGTGAAGCCTAAGATATTGTGAATTGATCACAATGTCGATTTTTTCCTAGCATTTCTTAGGCTGCAAGGCAACATATAGCAGTTAAAATGCTTAAAAAAATAAAAATATAACTCTTTGCTCCAGTTCTTGTTCTGAGCATCACACTTAATATTAGATGAGGTGGGGTAATTTCTTGCGCCTCGTCAAACAAAATGTATACTCATTTGACTAATTTATTTACAGAATATTCAGAAAGAGGGAACTTCAGAAATCGCGCTAACACGAGACCGTCTCATCCTCAGAAGGATTTAGCTCAAATCATAGCGGAATCTTTAATAGACATTATAACTTTAAATTATTCCTCGGCCTTACAAGGACTGCTTCATATTTTCACGAGTCCAAGAAATCTAATAAGCATATTCATAGCTGTATTTAAAATATTTCTCATCGTGTTACAAGCAATATTTCTGGTGCAGAGGTTTTTCTTTAGGCGACTAATTAGTCGTACTTTTTAGTGTTTAGTCGTAATGCACAGGGACGTATTTAGGGTGTCTAGCGGAGGGCAGATAGTGTAAGTTTTCAATTTATGAAGATAAATTAGCCTTATTTATATACATATCACGTTGTTATTAATACACTCATTGTTTAAAACACTGTCACATGACTGACAAAATTAAAACATAAAGTGATCAGTGACTTCAAATGTAAGCTAAGTTCCTAAATAATATACTGGATTTTTGAAGAGATTTATAATTTTTTTAAAAATGTATTTTTTTACCTAAACAGGTCTCGCTCAGCAAACCTCCTTGTGATTTGACTTATGTTAATGCTTATGTTTTATATTAATTAGGACACAATTTCTTAAATCTAATTTTAACTTATAATTTTACCTTTATCTCTGAAAATTAAAAGGAGGGTCAGCTATCAAATACAGGTCTCCTTTTCCATAAATTATGCTCTTCTGTTCTTGAAAACATTTTATTCCTTCAATAACTTTTCAAACAAAAACTTTAATATACGCGAATAATTGATATGACTGCAATAAAAAAATCTACAAAATTTACAGAATAAAAATTTTGTAACTGTAAAGAAATTCCTGGTGTTATTCCACTTCAATACATTTCCACTACAATACTTGTGAAATTGGCAAATAAATCATTTTTTTTACTAATGAGCGCTAACATTAAGCTTCTTAAATTTTATGAAGTAATTTTCTTTGAACTACAAAAGTTCCAATTCGGTAAGTGCCTTCACCCTAAATACGGCTTTGGTTGTGATATTATTTAATGGATTTTGTAGTATACTCAAACAAATTTTTATTTTTAACAACGCTCATCATTATTATACGTATAATAATGTTCTGAATTTGCGGGTATAGATATTCATGTACTAGACCCTCGAATATATAGGTTAAATGAATAATAAGTTATTTGACAAGTCGTTGAAAACTTTCATATTATATTAATTATTATTATAATGACAATTATGTTGCGCAAATCAGTAAAAAAAGACGAAACTAAAAATTCTGTTTTAAAATATGCCGCTAAACGTTTCTCTAGCAAATATCGCGTTTACAAAAAGGTGACGTCACACGGCTCTCGTTAAAACTTCAAACACTTCGACAGCATGTTTACAAGCATGTGACGTCATATTAGGCTCAGCCAATACTAGGCGTTGTCGGTCATGTGAAAATAGATAAAAAATACTTTTTAACTTCATGATTTTTAGTAATATTATCAACTACTTTTATTTGTCAGAAAAGTAAAAATTGCGGTCAATATTCATGTTAAATACACATACCATAAATGTGTACTTTATTTTTCATGCTGTCAAATAGCTTATTACAAAAATTAACTTCAAATAAGTATACCTATTGCGTCCAAAAGAGTGAATGGCGGTTTGTAAAATTGTTTAAATCTTTGTTTTTATTAGAATTTAAGTAAAGTTCATTTTATTGTTTGTAATGTTTGATTGTTTATTATCAATAAATTGAATTGTCAAAAGTAAACTTTTGTTTTAATTTTATGATTTTCCTTTTATTGTTAAGATTTCTTTTTTTTATTTTAATAAAAAGAAGTATAATTTACACGCCGCCATTGACTCTCCTCTTTGAAAAAGCATAATTTTCTCTCTTCGTACAGATTAGAGACGGAAATCAAAATTCAATTCAAAATTTCTATAGATTACTTTGGAATTTTTCTAAGCGATTTTTAACAGAATCAGACCTCGGGGAATAAGCTAGGGTACTTTTTGTCACCAAAATAAAATTTACAAGAGGGTAGAATAAGATTTGCTTAAGGTGCTTCGCTAACAATCAAAAAGGAACATTGAGAAACCAAAATTATTTTCCACGTATAAATGTGAGGAAAGTCGATGGCGCAATGCTAAGGGTATTTAGTCTATTGCTTTGAATTTGAGCATTATGTACAAAAAAGCGTTGCCAACTTATAGATTTGACCCTGAAATTTTGGTATTTTTCACTACCCATCCTATGACAAAATTAATAATAAATAAATATTTTCCATACTGACCCCAATTAGCCTAACCCCATAGTAAGCAGGGCTTGTGTTATTGGATGCTAGGGTAACGGATAGAATACATATACTGATACATATATAAATATATATTATCTAGAATGTATAAACATCCATGACTAGGGTACAAATGCTCGTGTTCATCCTAGTAACATTTGTCCCCAAGGGGACTCGAACCGGGACCTCTGAGTAGGAGACGCCATGAAACCCGGCGTATATTCCACTCGGCCACATATTTTTGGTCACCCATCCAATGACCGACCACAGCGAAAGTTGCTTAACTTCGACCTCCTCAACCTCAGACTACGTACTGGTAAACTTATTAATTGCTTTTATGCATCTGATCATGAGGAGCAGAGCATCGATGGGTTTGAGTTAAGCAACCCTTGCAATGGCCAGTCATTGGATGGGTGACCAAAAAAAAATCTCTCACTGCTGCTCTCGTCGGTCCCGGCTGCACCGAGAGTCATTAACATCCATTGTTAATAACAGCAATAGGCCTGAAGCTAACTCCTACCCCTTGGAGCCCTGGAACTTCAACTCACCAACAGAAACGCTGGACTTAAATGTACCTACTTAAAGTTTCTTTTTATTGTGGTTTTCTATTGTATGGAAGTTAGGTGTTGTAACGCCCCTTTTCCTGTTGAATGCCTACGACTGGAATTCATATTTAAAACTATAGAATATGTTCAAAATATGGAACTTGATTGCCTTGTCTCTTGAATCGCAGATTTAAAATGGGGATTGCCATAGAAAGATCGTAATACTAATGTAATAATTCTTTGATAACATAAAAGATAACCAGTGTTTTCCTATTTGTTTCTTAGGTTTTCACGCACATCACTATGTCACATTAAATAAAACAAGTTTCAACGGGTTACATGCACTGATTTTATGTATTTATTGACGTTTCGCATCCTTTGCAGGAATGCGTTGTCGGAATAATGATTTTTAAGCTATTGCATAGATTTTATCGCGGGTTTTGAGCGCGGCGACCGAATCAAGAAATTCCATAACGAAAATAACCTGACAACAGTGCATATGAACACAATTTTCGCCTTTCCAGTATCGATCGAAACGGCGCAGTGTGGTTCGTTTTTGCACGGGAGCAACGTTCGACGCATCACCGCGGTCGACGGTTCAAATCCCGCACTCGTATTTTTATTTTTTATTATATATTTTTTCCTTTTTTTATATATTTGTTTTAGACCCCAGCACCTGTTCTTATTTTTATTTGTCTCCCTTTTATGTAGACTTTATAATTAAAATTTTTGGACTAAAGATGGTAAACTGTGGAGACTGTGGAAGTTTTTTGGCGCCGGGCAATGCTGTTGTTTGCTGTGCTTGCCCAATAAAATATCATAAGGCCTACCTTGTCATCTATTAATATAAAAGAAAAAAATACTGCATAAATAAATAATTATAATTGCATAAGTTGATAAATAATGCTATGCAATAGCTTTACCGCGGCAGTCCCCGAGTGCCACACGTATTTTTATTTACTTTGTCGAGCTACCTTCGAATACGCTGAATAAAAGACTTCGAAGGTAGCTCGACAAAGTAAATAAAAAATCATTGTTTTGACGACACATTCCTGCAAAGGATGCGAAACGTCCATAAAAAATTTAAATCAGTACATCTAACCCGCTGCAACTTGTTTTATTTAGTGTTTTCCTCGTAGATCTATCTAATCTAAGTTTCTAGTCTTCTAAAAGTCTTATAGTACTTCCCCAGATGGGCGCGATTCGATTTCAAGTAGACCTTATGAAAATGTCGCTTTTGTCAAATACTCCAGGCGCGGATCTAGGGAGGCAATGAGTCCAAGCCAGGGGCGTTTAGAAATCTGGCGACCCTAGCCATGCCATTAAGGATTAGCATGGCTTTTGTCAACGTATGAATTTTCGTTCCATGTTATATTGGACGACGCAAAAGAGATTTAAATGTCAGGATAGGTCTTCATCAACTACTAAACTATGGGCTGTTCTATCGCTTCATATTTCTTACACTCATCTGTCTTCCTTGTTGGTTAGGGAAAGCGCAGCGCTTTGCGCCGGTAGATGGCTTTAATGGACGGTGTAGTGTGCGGTTTTAAAACTAGATGGCGTTGTTATTATTTTTTATCTTTTTGGTTAGTAGAATACATGTGATAAAGAATAGATTGAAGCACTCTTTTTAGGGCAGCCTTTTGAAAGGTCTTTAGTGGTCCGGCCTTTAAATCTGACCCCGGCTAGACCACAAGGCTTTTTTGGGGCACTGAGTTCCTCACAGACCGTTGAATGATGCTGTGGTAGTTTTCTGTCAGTTTAAATATAATTTTCGCTGTTCAAATGTCGTAAATTCTCTATTAGCGTTCCCCGGCGGTGGCCCGACGGTTTACACCAGGCGTCGGGCTCGGGAGCCCGAGCCGCGTGAGGCGCACGCTGGCCTGGTGCAGCTGCTGCCAGTCCTGGTGCTGGTGCTGCTGTCCATGATGTCAGGGTTCTTCATCAGCGAGCCTGTCTTCAGTCTAGCGCCGAGCTCCAAGTATCCGGTGCCCAGGGAAACTGTTAATCTGAAGGTGAGATGGTGTAGATCCTTAGACACTCTTTTAGTTCGGGTTTTAGCTAGGGGGCTATTCATTTGTTACGTAAAGTGATTTAGGGGGTGAGGGGGGTTGACCATGTCTTATTTTTTTCTTACAAAGGGGTGGGAGGGTTTCTTAATAGTTTTCACGTAAGATCAGAAAAATGCGCAAAGTAAAGATTATACTTTGAATAAGTAGTTTAGTACTACAAAAATAATAAAAATTATTAGCACCTTTGTAGGTACAAATTAATATTCCTAAAAATTGGTACTTTGAAAATAAACATACGAATAAATCAAACGTGTGTAGGTATTCATTTATTCCTTAAGATTCTTACGTAATAAATGAATGGCTCCTAGAAGGTTGAAGCACCTGCTTGAAAAGGTGGTCATCAAAAGTTCATCGGTGTGGTATATATTCATTATGAGTTCTGCTGTGACAACAAAAAATAATATAATAATAATAATAATAAAAACGTTTATTTGGCTCAAATTACAAAAATAGGTTATTGTGTTACACATAGGTGATTGTGTACCAAACAGGCCACTACTCAGTATAATATATGTTGAGGCAACATGTGCCACGACACTGATTTTCAGCAGCAGCTTACTTAAATTAAATGACATTTAAGGTCATCGATAATAATTTAAATTAAATGAAATCTGAGGTCTTTAATATCATTTAAAATAAAATATAATTAAGTTAATTAACAAATTAAATTACGTTTTCTTAGAACTTCTTAGAAGCAGGTGCATTGAGGAACCTAAAAAAATATACTTATTTTAGTTTTTTAAACCACTAACGTCATCTTATGAGGTAGATTGAATCCAAATCACGCTGTTATAATTGAAAGTATTTTTTTAACATTGTAATAAATTACTTATTTTTATCTGTAATTTAATACAATGATTTTGACAGCAAACGGGACTCGAACCCACACCCTTCGCTATCCGGGCGGATGCACCGACCATTATGCGAATTTTCTCTAGTGTTTCTTAAGTTGCAAGGCAGCATCCCTTCGCATTGTAGGCAACCCACAATGTCAATTGAATACCTTTACAAGTATTAAACATTTGAAAGAAGAAACAGCAATTATAGTTATACATTGCTAGATGTTTACATCTAAAGAAATTATCTAGAAAAAAAATGCTTAAAAATATATATATTACTAGCTGACCCAGCGAACTTCGTACCGCCATAAAAATAGGGGCAGGCGGTAGAAGAGAAAATTTAAGGTTGTATGTATTTTGAAATACGACATTATAAAAAAATAAATATTGTCCAAAAAAAAATTTTGTCGTGTGTAACGTAGTGTTCTATCAATTTCCTGGGATAACACTCCTCCTAACCCATATGAGAACAATACGTTACAATACCCAATAGTTTGAATTTTGGCACGAAGGCGCATTGTAGGTTTCAGAACACTACGTTACAGGTGGACAACCATTATCACTTTAGAATATGAAAAATACATAGTACCCGATTCTCAGACCCACGGAATATGCATATAAAATTTCATAAAAATCGCTCAGGCCGTTTCGGAGGAGTATGGTAACTAACATTGTGACACGAGAATTTTATATATAAGACTATAATGATTTTTCGGTCGTTGCTTGGGGAGAACTCATAATATGTTTTAATTTTATAGATATTAACGGGATTGTTACCATGTACCTTGTTTTTTATGAGTCTCCGATATTTTAATATGTTTTAATACCTCTTCTGATATGTCAGTCGCATAAACTAATATTACATGTATTTTACCTGTCCAGGTTCCATACTACGTTAAGGAGAATTTCCATACGGACTACCAGGGTTCCCTGCGACGGCTCGAGATGTCCATAGAAGAGGAATATATTGGTAAGATATCCATCAACCTATTTATGTACCCACTACTGTGGCGTGGCACACGCCTACCCTTTAGACGGAAAAAGGAGGTTTGGCTATGATGGGTCATAAGTAGACATCGGATTTTATCATCATCATCATCAGCCTATTAATGTCCCCACTGCTGGGGCACAGGCCTTCCCTATGGATGGGTTAGGAAGGTTGGGCCATGACCCACCACGCGGGCCCAGTGCGGCTTGGTGGGTGCTAACGACTGCAGATGCAGCCGGGACCAACGACTTAACGTGCCTTCCGAAGCACGGAGGATCTCGAGATAATAAATTTTTGGTCACCCATCCAATGACCGACCACTGCGAAAGTTGCTCAACTTCAACGACCGCAGCCGAACGGGCTAACCACTGGCGCCATCGAGCTCCTCAACTAATTTCGGAGTTAATGCGTATTTTAGCTTTTTCTCCCCAATCATGCATTTTTCGTTTAGTAGTGGAAGGGGGTAAGGTTATATGTGTAGGGGGTAAGGTGGTACGTGTAGGGGGTAAGGTAAGGTACCTAATAGCCGGACAGATCAGCTAGTTTGGCCGGGCATTTGGGTAAAAAGGCTGGACACCCTACGTTACTGATGATTTTGTGACTCCGTAATATTATGTAGGACAAAATTTTTTTTGTCTTAGCGACAGACGGTTACTCGCTTGTACTCGAGTGTAGTAGTGTCTTATGTAAAAGAAAAAATAAATAAATGTTAAGTTTAGAGCTTAATATTTAAGGTTTGAGGAGCTCGATGACGCGAATGGTTAGCGCGTTCGGCTGCGATCGCTGAAGTTAAGCAACTTTCGTAGTGGTCGGTCATTGGATGGGTGACCAAAAATCTTCTATCTCGAGCTTCTGCGTGCTTCGGAAGGCACGCTAAGCCGTTGGTCACGGCTGCATCTGCAGTCGTTAGCACCCGCCAATCCGCACTGGGCCCGCGTGGTGGGTTATGGCCCGATCTCCCTATTCCATCCATAGGGAAGGCCTGTGCCCCAGCAGTGGGAACATTAATAGGCTGATGATGATGATGATGATATGCAGGTTTACTAATTTCCTATGGCACGTCCTTACATACGAGCAGGTGTTGTTACAGCCAATACCTAGCTGTTAGGGTACCGAGCAGGGATGTTGCAGATGCCGATGTTTTCACATCCGCGGATACGGATGCGGATGCGGAGTTTAGCAGGCTCACATCCGCGGATGCAGATGCGGATGCGGATGTATAAGATATTATGGTTATATATATTTGGTTCAAAATAATCCTATACATTACTTTTGGTCGGTGGTGACATTGTTGACTAAATAGTTAGATAAACTATCAATAACGGGAATCACACTGGTAAAATAACGAATTTCGTCATAAAACGATAATTTTTCCTACAATAAAACGTATTACCGGCGTAATATAATAGAATTTACCTTGTGATCTTATGGATATTAGTTTTAAATAATATAAAGTTTTCTTGTAAACTCTTCTTATTTACACACTGTATCACAACAACATTAAAAATACCTATCTATCTTTATGATACGATAAGTAGTTCACTTTCACATCACAGCGCAAACAAACACGTAATATTTATTCACTTGCAAGAAACAATTGATGCACTAGCTAGAACAAACAAACGTGTCGAATCTTGTCACCAATTTCTTCGCTCCCATTGGTTATTGTCACGTGCGACCGGCACGAGTCAATCACCGGCCCCGCCCAATTTCTTTCTTGTCGCTACTTGTATAATATTCGCATCCGCATGAACATTCGCATTGATTAATGCGGATGCGGAAGCAGATGCAGATGTCCAAATCAATGCGGATGTTCCGCATTTGCGGATGCAGATGCGAATGTTCGCAACATCCCTGGTACCGAGATAGACTCTCGGTTGCAATAATGAATTTTTGGAGTACAAAGGCCGTAGCTTGGAAAAATTTATGTACTGTACTGTGTTGTTTTCAATAAAGAATTGTGTATTGTATTGTAAAGGCGTTGGTCTCGGCTACATTTACTATTAACACCGACCTGTCCACACTGGACCCGCGTGGTGGATAATGGACCAAATCTTCCTAATGTGGGGGAAAATGGGGACGTTAAAAGTTCATTCATTGCCGAATGACAACTAACTTTTTGTGATCTTACGTGAGAACTATGGAGACTCCCTCCCAACCCCCTTGTAAGAAAAAAATATAGACATGGTCGAACCTCTCCCTCCCTTCCGCTTTACATAATAAATGAATCGCCCATTGTTGTTACTTATCAAGAATTTATTTAGTTATTTTTCACCTGTCATTTCTCTATTAAAACTAATATATGTGTATATATTATGTATGTATGGTATGTATATATAGGGTGTAAAAAAAACCTGTAACGAAGTCGAAGGCCACGGTATTTTCCACATCATGACGATCATTTTTTTCTTCTGGACCATACCTGGGAAATTTATGGTAGATAATGAAGATCAAAGTCACATTTTTTTTTCTAGATTTACAAAAACGTTATTTAGAAACTTTTGCATCGACGCACTTACACACACACACACACATTGTTTGCGTAGCGCCACAGTAGCGCGCCGAGCTATACATTGCGTACTAGAACAAAAATTAACTTCTAAATACAAATGTTTCCCACGTATAATACTTTGTAATATTACTTGTTTGGGTGTACAGAATGCGTAGTTTAAGTCTTTGTCATAGGTTTCTTCACATCCTGTATATTTAATATAGTTATATACATTTTTTTATATCCCTTGTTTATTTTCATAAAACCACCGACTCCAGTTTCTTTCAATAATCCTCTCCATCCAAAGGTTGTCTGAAAGAATTGGCTTTTAGCGATAAGACCGTCCATTGAATCACTATGTTGAACCATAATGTATTTACCCCATTTATGTACTGTATTGTTTTCAATAAATAAATGTGTATTGTATTGTGTATTTACATGTAACAGTGGGCCTAAGGCATGCGTGCCAACGCGAGCGCAACTACCGCGACAGCATGGCTTGGAAGGCGCGAAACTTCGGCGATTCCCGCCAATTCGCCGACGCTCAGAAGCTGCGCACGCCGAGCTGCGATAAACTCAACGCGCTTCACAGATAGATGGCGTTGGCTTAGTGTGTAGTGCGCGACAGTAAAACTAGATGGCGTTGTTATGGTTTTTCTTTTTCGGTTAGGTCTCTTTTTGTTCAAATGTAATGATGTAAACGTTGATTTCATTCCAACCGTAAACGTAAAACTTTGGCGATTCCCGCCAATTCGCCGACGCTCAGAAGCTGCGCACTCCGAGCTGCGATAAACTCAACGCGCTCCATAGGTAGATGGCGTTAGCTAAGTGTGTAGTGCGCGGAATCAAAACTAGATGGCGTTGTTATTGTCTTTTTTTCGGTTAGGTCTCTTTTTGTTCAAATGTAATGATGTAACGGTGATTTCATTCGAACCGTAAACGTAGAGGATGAACAACTCTCTAGAAAGAACAAGCAAGCAATAAGTAGATCTAAAGAAAATTTAACTGGAAGAAATTTCACCGTTTTAAATGTAAATAACAATATAATAAAGTCATAAATTGACAAACTAGGAGCAGCCTTATTCGCGCCAATTGAGACATAACGCACTCTATAGATAGATGGCGCTAGGGGAGTGTGTAGTGCCCGGAATTAAAACTAGATGGCGTTGTTATTAGTATTTTTATTTGGAATTTTTGAATTTATCACTAACTTCATAGTAAATAGTGGATTGCTACTATGCACCTTGTTTCATAATTACTCCGTGATCATGGCCGAAATATCGGGTACTCGTAAAAAACACGGTTTAATAGTATCAATCCCGCTGTTTGCAAATGGTTGCTTTCGATTTAGACTAAAGATAGTGAGAAAGGACTGGGTGATAATGAAAACTCTACAAGGAATTAAAAAAGCATCCAATAAATAGACAAACTATAATAATTATAATCAAAATCATTTATTAAGTTTAGGCTGTTACAAGCACGCATGAATATATAGAAGCTACGCCATCGGTTCGTAAATCTACGGCGGGAGACCTTGTACTGAGAAGAACCGGCAAGAAACTCAGCAAGGGCTGTTTTATTATTTACAGAGTTTACGTCAAGTTAAATAATGACTTCGAAAGGTCTACTCATCCGTTAAATCACGTATGTCGTCATAGTCTGTGGATCAATTTAAATGTTCATTCGATCAATTCGCGCGAAAAACTCCATACAAATAGAACTCATAAACAGCCTCATTGATATTATCTTACTGAAAATCTTCTCATTATGTTTTAAACTTTCATGGTCACTAACATTATAGCTAGTAACAGGATTGTTACCAGTTCACGCTTGACAGCTCTTTATTCACCACACAGTTCACACAATTAACACACAACGTTAATTATAAAACACTAAACACTGTATTTCACTACACAAGTCTCTAAACAATCTCACTTGAACACTTTTGTTGTACTTTGATCGCCTTTGGATTCGCTCCGAAATCGCTGTTGAAACTCAACTGTCTCTGCGCGGCGCCAATCGCGCTTATATACGCCGATCGACGCATTCTAGAAAGTACCTGTTAAATTGAGAATTAGCTAGCATCCGCAAGTACGAAGTACCTCCTTATACCTACGCAGGTAACGCGCATAACTTGTAAACTAGTGCAGATGTCGTTGCACTTTCTCCCTTACGCCGCACTGCATAAGGCTCATTTTAGAATGAGCCGCATTACTCGACCTCTCGCGACCCGCGGTGATCTGGCAAATTCGATCTCTAGCAGTTTCGCGGTTAAGTTTCGAGAGCGTTTGTGACAATATGTATATTCTCTTTTAAAATATGTATATGTATATTGATTTAATAATAAAGAGAGATATTTAAAGAAAAATATCTTGTAACTGGAAGCTCGAAGGACCACGTGAATTATATTCGTTTAATATTCGTGATTAACTGTTATAGCTCTGGCCAATCGACATCTTTTTGAATACCGATAAATTCGGTATGAAAAACTGATTCAAAATTCAAACTGACTTGAGTTAGGGAGATCGAAACTCACAACGCCATCTGTTGACGACCAGACGAATCAATTGTTCGATTATCGGTTAAACAAAAAGGCTAGAAAAATCAAAAAGCCTAACAATGAACTCCGCATTTAACCCTCATTACATTGAAGTAGTGATAGTGTATTTTAAATAAACATTACATTTATTTATATGTAAAACTTTATTCATTCAATTTCCCTTTCAGTTTTTTTTACAACCAAAAAATTAAATGAATATTTACAAAAAAGATGGTGCGTGTCTAATAAAAATTACGGTTATTTATTTATCATGAACATCACGATATTTTTAAAATCCGTTAAGTTGCATAAAGCACCGCGTTTTCAACAATATTGCATTGCTTATTGTTCAGTATGAATTTGTGACTACAAGCTGTCGTTGCGGCACTGCAATAATTATTAAAAAGTCCTATAATATTGTTCCATTCCTTATAGTGATCTTTAAGTTTAAAAAAACAACAATTTCTAATGTCTTATCTTGTCACAACCTGAGTAAAGAATGTACTTGGCTGTATGATTGTACCTGTATATTGCACTTATTTTCTTAACAACTTCAGCTTATTACTATAAATATATCATTGCTTTATTAAATAAAAAACTTAGTTTAAGCGTCACTTGAAAGCAAATTCTAATAAAGATAAAATCAATAATGGTGAAAGCAATAATTAAATTAAAATTTAACCCCATTTTTTGGAAAATAGTGAAAATATGCTAAAATGAATTTATTAAAGTCACCATCGGAAGCATCAATTAAAGTTAATGTATTTGTAAAAGCTTCTTTTGTTGAATTCCCACAATGTTCAGGAATGACGGGCGCCAGATGGCAGCACTGAGACGAAAGGTCCACTCATCAATGATTTTGGCTAAAGGACTACGTATCCAAGGCCGGAATAAATTAAAAAAAAGGTCCACTCATCCGCCAAATCATCTATATCGTAATAGTCTATGGTTCAATTTAAATACTCGTTCGACCACTAATGACTGGCCAATATGGAAAACTCCAAGGCCATAAAAATTATACATAAAAAAATTGGTCGTTCGATTAATTCGCGCCAAAAACTTCATACAAAAGATCTCACGCCACAGTGGCGCTCATTGGTGACGTGAATATTCGTAAACATCCTCTTTCATTCCGCCAATGAAAAAATCACGTAGCTTTTACACGTAGCTAGGGAATTTGCATTTTAATACTCTTTTAGCAAAATTTAAAAACCAATTGAAATCTGAGTGTGCTGATAAAGGTTAAAAGCTTAATTGTTAGAGCACTTGTAACACTTGTATTTTTCGATTACCAAGGACGACATTTAGCAATATAATGTACCTAGGTTAATATAAAACACGATGTATGAAAAATGCTAAACGAAAATATTACTACAAAATCATTCCACGCGGAAAAGGCAGCAGACGGGACTCGAACCCGCACCCTTCGCTATCCGGGCGAATGCACTGACCAATTATGCTACCTCGGCCCTGATGGCCGTGTCGAATTCTTTCTAGCCTTTTTTAAGCTGCAAGGCAGCTTAAGAATAATTGGTCAGTGCATTCGATTTAGCGAAAGGTTCGAGTCCCGTCTGCTGTCTGGTCCGCGTGGAATTTTTTCTAGTTATATTTTCTTTAGATTTAAACATCGAGCAGTTACACTTTAAAAGAAAATATATAAATATCATTTTATTCAAATTTGGTGTATTTCTTGTACCTTCAAGAATGCTGTTTCTTGTGTACCTAGTTAATATAAATAAATTATATGAGTGTGTGTAGCAAGCAAGGTATAAGGTATTAATTTTATTTAACAATTTTAGTAATCGTATCGGATAAAGATAATTATCTGCGGATACAATTACTAAAATACACTTGCACATCACTATGTTTATGAAATATGGAACAGTACCCCCAGCACGAAGCAATATCGAATTCGTATCGTTTGCGAGTCCGAAATGTCATTGTCAAATGTGTACTGATTTTTAGTTCTCGTTACGTACTTTGTGCCGCTGCTGTTCAAGTTTCCATACAAAATTTGACATTGACGTTTCGGTTTGCAAACTATTCGAATTCGATAATGGTTCGTGCTAGGTACAGCTTCGATGTAAGGTATAGGTACTTGTATTAAATATATTTATTATATAGGGCACCACTGCGTTTGAACAATTTTGTTGACTTTATTTATTAGAAACTGTATTTAAAAGAAAAATTAAATTATACTTAAACTGTTTATTCTATAGTGTAAGAGTTCATTTATTGTTATTATTGTAAAAATAAATTGAGTTGAATTTATGTGTTGTTTTATTTCAACAACAGCATCAGCCTATTAAGCAAAAAATCGCAATTTTTGAGCGCCTCGGTTACCCCCTTAGAAAAGATTTTGACTATTTCCAATGAAAGTAAACAGTAAATTTATTTTTCCTTTTGTTAGTTAATGTAGAATATTTGCAAATACTATTTTCGTTTTTTTGTACTGATCGTTTTACCGCAGCTAGTTTACGGAAAAACGATAATATGCACAACTTCAAACGCCTGAATCTCTAAATAATGTTCAATAAATTAGATCAAATTAATTACTACGACATCAGAAATATGTTTTTGTTGTAACATAATGTACCTATTAGAATTTTGATTTTCCATCTCATTAATTATCAAAAAAAAAATCTAACCTCCGTGAGTTTTCCCAAAAAACAATGCAGGTTTACCTAGTATTTTGATATTTAATTAAATAGAATTACTATCAAAAACTTTCATAAAACTAATCTTCCATCATTGAACTACTGTAATATGTATATATTTTTATAATTAGTTCATTAATAATTATTTTATAAGACTCGAAACATCACCCGTAAAATGCAATATATACTAGTGCAAATCTACCTACGCGCCGATCAGTACGGCAGCGGCGCAATTTTGTAAAAGGGCTCTTAAACTAAGATTTTTTCCCCTTTTCATAACTGGTTAAATGGGTTTACTTTATAAATCTAGAAACAAAGCTTATTTATAGAACAACGAACATGATTTTATTGGCATTTTCTAAACTGGTTAATATTTAACTTTTTCATTTTCTTCAAAGATTTTACAGACAGACAGTTTATAAACACTGTTAAAATGGACCAATGGGATTTTTTGTGTCCTGCGGTATGTCACATGATTATAGAAAGATTCCTAAGGGTACGGCCAGAGTGCACTCAGATTCAGATTCAGATTTCGAAAACAAGCGCGAGAAATAAACAGTGTAGTCGAAGGGTACGGCCAGAGTGCACTCCTGATGCAGATTCAGATTCAGACTCAGAAAACAAAGCGCGAGAAAATTAGACTACACTGGTGTCGATTCTAGGATGATTCTCTAAACCTAAACTTAAATTTGACAGTAGTATATCCTTGTCATTATCTATACCGAATGAATAGGAGAGACTGATGTTAAATTTAGTTTTAAGTTTAGAGAATCACGCCAGAATTGGCACCACTGTTTATTTCTCGCGCTTGTTTTCGGAATCTGAATCTGAATCTGAGTGCACTCTGGCCGCACCCTAACTCATGTGTCACTTTTCTCTATGCTGTATGCCCCCCGGTCTATCGGGTGCCGCGCGAACTCGAGTGGCGCATGCATTTGTGTGAGTGTAAATAGTGTACAACAAACGAAATTGTAGGACCTTGCATGCTTCATTTTTAGTTTGATGTTACGTCCGTAGTTTTTTTAAGTCCGTGCGCAGAGTATGTTTTCTACAAACTCCGGCAAACACGTTCAAGTGTATTTGCTCGACAAAACATTTAGGCCACAACTTTTATTTATGTTTTCGAACAATGTTCCTGTTCAACATGGCGCGGCGGAGACGCATTTATACTCACCGACAGAAATACAACACCGCCAAAAGTTAGTGTTATTTTACTGTAATTTTCTATTATAATAATAATAAACTTTTAATAACTTTAAGCAAGTTACAATATACAATATTTTTAAATTAATAATACAAAAATTGGTGACAAGCGGCACATTAGAGCTTAAATATTGTTAAAGGTGACTTCTGTTGCCAGTGGTAGGATAACCTGTATTACAGGCAACAGGGTCCCCTCTATGTACATAAATACTGTAGCCGATTTAGGTGTGCGCACATTGGTTGTATGATTAACTTATATAGATATATAAATTAGTTATAAAAATTACAGAAACCGTCAATAAGTAACTGCTGCCGTATTTAATTACGCAATAAATAAAAAAGTTCTAATTATTTACTAAACACTCCTATTAGGTGAAGGTTACTTACCCAGGCGGGTGCTACAATTTGAGCGGCAAATCCGCTATGCGCTACCTTTTATAATATAAAGATAAATAAAAAATGATAATTAACTAATTCTTTAATTTTTCCTACGATAATGAGGCAGATAATGTTATCACTATTTTCAACTCTTCTCATAACAGCCGAAATAGCTCAGTTGGGAGAGCGTTAGACTGAAGATCTAAAGGTCCCCGGTTCAATCCCGGGTTCCGGCAAATAGTTTTTTTGATCATTTTTATGTTCCATTATTAAAAGGGATATTTTTAAATGCACAGCAAATAATATATGATCCATTAAGTTTATTAAAAAAAAAAAACTAATTAAATACTTTTGACATCAAAATAATTTCTCTCGTTTTCTCTCAATTCATACACTCTTCTTAACTGATTTTTGTCATAAACATTATAGATAGATAGTACCTAGATATTTTTGTTTGTAACTGTTTGTGATGAGAAAATAAAATTCATTATTATGATTAAAAATAAAAAATATCTTACTGCAAACAAAAAATTCGTTGAAAAAAATTGTGCTAAAAATAATTCAAAAATATAAATATATTATACATCAAATCTTTAGTACAGTTTTTCCTCTGGTGCTCAACATAGAAGTAATAGATTTGTTGTGAGGTGGTTATTATTAGCTATGCATTCTTAAATTAGTAGTACTCTTATGATTGAGACGAATCGATTGATGTATGAATCATCAAAATCGGTCCACGCGTTTGATCTCTAGTGTGCCACAAAGGAACAAACATACATATATATACTGTTAAACACTATACCCTGTCTGCGCGTCGACTGCAGATGCAGCCGGGACCAACGGCTTAACGTGCCTTCCGAAGCACGGAGAAGATCGAGATAGTAAATTTTTGGTCACCCATCCGAGGACCGACCACTGCGAAAGTTGCTTATCTTCAACGATCGCAGCCGAACGCGTTAACCACTTGCGCCATCGAGCTCCTCCCTGCTTCGCTGTAGGGTTTGCTAGTAGAAAATAAAACAAAATACATTTTCTCTTATAAAAAGTGTATGTTGGGTTTCGAAAATGGATCCGGCTCGAAGGACCAAGATGTCAGTGATGAAAGTGATGATGATGATGAAGGTGATGAAGATCTTCGGTCCTCGGATCCCTGGTGTGGACTGTATGTAGGTTTCCTGATTTAAAACTCTGGTTGTTGCTTTAATACTGCCTTTATTCTTCTGGCTAGTTGTTCACACGATGATTGTTCCTGACAGACTACAATTTAGTGTTACCGATCGATAGTCGACTGTCGATGATTAATACGATAGTCTATAGCTAACCATTCGTATGACAATCGATCGGCTTATCGATAGTATCGATACTATCAATAGTATCGATTCTATCGATAGCACAGAAGAAGCCAATACTATCGGATGAGTGAAATACTATTGATAGCATTGTAGTTCGTTAATAACAAAATATCGATAGTATCGATATTGTCGATTTTATTTGCACCCATACTATCGATAGTTTAACAATTTGCAATAGGATTGTTTACAATTTTCAGGTATGATAGTCAATCACAAACTATAGTTTAAAACAATCGCTAGTATCGATACTATCGATAGTATTGTTGCAGATAAAATCATAAATATCGATAGTTTGTTATAAACGAACTACAATAGTATCTATAGTATTGCACTCATTCGATAGTATTGCCTTGTTCTGAGCTATCGATAGTTTCGATATTATCGGTTGTATCGATAGGGTACATAATTTTCGATATAAACTGTCGATAGTTTTAATATCGATAGTTCGGCAACACATCTATAATTTGCCTCACAAACTTTTCGTCTTATATAATAATTTGACTTTAATGAGCATCCCCGACGTGTCTCTTTTTAAAGTACGCCTTCTGATTGGTGGTCCAACACGCGACCTTCCCCCCGTCGCATGATGCCCCGCACCCCTCAGACGCCCGGGAAGTAGGCTTTGTGATTGGTCGGATCGTTTATCTCTCGGATCGGTGCACGGCTGTTGTCAACAGTGTAACTATATTTTGACGGTGTGTATATGCGCGGCGTCGGGCGCGGTCGCATGAACAACTGTGGGATGCAGAACTGCATTCACATTTATTTTTTATGTTATTATTAAAAATAAAATGATGTCTTCTTTCAGTAAAATATCCTATGTTCAATATAAAATAGACTTTCCCTCCGTGTGAGGTAGCCGTGGGACGCCCTGTATATTTTAACCGCATGTACAGCGGTGAGATGGCGCGCGATGGTCGAAGTAGGGACGTAATTCCCATTGGCCACCGGTGGTAATCCTTGCGGGGCGACTGGGAATAAAGGGTTTCCACCTTTGGGGTTTGAAGAGTTGTAGGTACAGCAAATAAAGCACACTCTCATTTCCATCAGCATCTATATTTTAACGGTATGTATATGCGTTGGGTCGGGCGCGGTCGCATGTACAGCGGTGAGATGTCGCGCGACGTTCCGTCGTCGGGCGAACGTGCCTTATAACACACATTCACTATGGTGTCCTTTTCATCGGAGGCAAATAGGAATAAGAAAAATGAAGTAGGGGCAATCCAATGACTTCATTCCCACTTGCCACCGGCGGCAAACCTCGCGGGTAGACTGGGAATAAAAAGTATTAAGATCTGTGTTTACACCGTGCGGCAATAGATGGCGCTGTACGATTGTGACTCGCGCTTTCTTCTTGTTGCGTATCATTTTATATATACCTAGATGCCGTTAGACTTTAATAAATAAATCTCTTCTTCGGAGTTTTTCCACTAGATCAATCTTTTAGTTTTATTTCGTTCCGCAAACAAAAAGATTTCACCTTTTTTATGACTCAAAGGCGATACAGCAAATAAAACACACACTCATTTCTAGCAGCATCTATATTTTAACGGTATGGATATGCGTTGGGTCGGGCGCGGTCGCATGTACAGCGGTGAGATGTTTACTATAGTGTCCTTTTCATCGGTGGCAAATAGGAATAAGAAAACTTAAGTAGAGACGTAATTCCCATTGCCCACCGGTGGCAATCTTTGCGGGGCGACTGGGAATAAAGAATTTTCACTTTTCGGGTTTGAAGAGTTGCAGACACAGAAAATAAAACACACTCAATTCCAACAGCATCTATATTTTAACGGTATGTATATGCGTTGGGTCGGGCGCGGTCGCGTGTACAGCGGTAAGATGCTACGCGACGTTCCGGCGACGAGCGAAAGTGTCTTAAAACATACATTCACTATAGTGTCCTTTTCATTGGAGGCAAACAGAAATAAGAAAACTGAAGTAGAGACATAATTCCCATTGGCCACCGGTGGCAATCCTTGCGGGGCGACTGGGAATAAAGAGTTTTCACCTTTTTCATGTCTCGGAGGAGTAGGAGGAGGAGGTTTTGGGGCTTGAAGAGTTGCAGGTACAGCAAATAAAACACACAGTCATTTCCATCAGCATCTATATTTTAACGGTATGTATATGCGTTGGGTCGGGCGCGGTCGCGTGTACAGCGGTGAGGTGTCGCGCGACGTTCCGGCGTCGGGCGAAGCTGCGCCCGCACAGGCGGCACCCGAAACGGCGCGCCGGCGGCCGGTGCCGCGAGCGGTGGATACGCATTAATGTAACGGACTTGAAGCGGGCCGGACACGAGTCGCACTGGGAGGCGAACAATGGTATCAATTCTAGCGTGATTCTCTAAACTTAAAACTAAATTTAACATCAGCCTCTCCTTTTCATTCTGTATAGAGAATGACAAAGATATACTGCTGTCAAATTTAAGTTTAAGTTTAGAGAATCACGCTAGAATCGACACCAATATCAATAAATTAATCAAGTTTCAACGGTATAGATGCACTGATTTAGGGTGAGGCCAAACGAGCGTAATTTTGTGAGTGGTGAGTCGCAGAATTTCGGTCGCAGAAATTCTGCTGCATTCGGTTTCATACAAAAAGGCAGTTGGTGCCACACGACAACGCAAAATGAGTTGTTCAATTCAGTTGAACGTAAAATAAGTGACCGAAAATAAGGGACTCACAACTCACAAAATTACGTTTGGCTTCACCCTTAATGAAGTGAAACTTCTTGGGGGCCGTTCATAAAATACGTCACGCTAAAATCAGCTTTTTCGGACCCCCTCCCCCCCTATTGTCACGCTGTGTCACACTTTCTGTGACCCCTCTTGAAATATTCCGTCACAAAAACGGAGACCCCCCCTCCCCCAAGTATGATTAATTTCAATAGTTTATTAGTTACAATTTATTGTATAATAAAACTATATACAAAGAAAAGTTTACTAGAAAAAAATCCACGCGGACCAGGCAGCGGACGGGACGGTCCCGTAAACATCAAGCAGTTACATGCTTTAAAATAATAAAAAAAAAAAAAAAAAACTATATACGTTATAATGTCTATATTATGTTTACTAAATACGAAATAAATGATTCTTGATGAAAATTGAGAAAGCAAAACAGTTGAAAAAAATACTAATTTAAATTTTTTTAATGAACGACGAACGTCACGTTGCCGTAGACCCCCCGTCCCCCCTTGTCACATCTTGTCACACTTAGCAAGACCCCTCCCCCCCCCCCCCCCCTTGTATGCGATCGTATTTTATGAACGGCCCCTTGAGGCACTATATTGTTTTAATACTTGTAAAGGTATTCATTTGACATTGTGGGTTACCTACAATGCGAAGAGATTTGCAGCTTAAGAAATGCTTAAGAAAATTTGACATCAAGAGCCGCGGTAACATAATGATCAGTGCATTCACCCGGATAGCGAAGGGTTCAAGTCCCGTCTGCTGTTTTAAATGCATAAAATTATGAAAAACTAAAAAAGTAGTATTGCCGAAACCCGGGATTGAACCGGGGACCTTTAGATCTTCAGTCTAACGCTCTCCCAACTGAGCTATTTCGGCTGATATGGGGGGCATCGAAAATAGTGATAACATTATCTGGCTCATTATCGTGGCAAAAAATAAACTATTGGATTAGATTATACATTTCATACAAAAGGCTGCAATCATATTTATACGTAAACTAGCTGACTCGGCGAACTTCGTACCGCCCAAAAGTAATAATTTGCAATAAATTAAAATTGCGACTATAATTTGAGATTTAAACTATCCTACTCTCAAGTTGGATCGAACTGCACATGGTGTGCGAATTTTATTATAATCGGTTCAGTGGTTTAGGAGTCCATTGAGGACAAACATTGTGACACGAGATTTATATATATTAAGATAAAGAAGATTGCTCAGCTTCCATACACGTTTGGCCTAAAGACCAATAATCGTGAAAAATTGTTTCTTAAATTCGAAATTATATAAAAATCACTGTAGAAACGAATATTATTGACGGACACCCCTGAGGCCTTCTATAAACCATGTACACTGAATGATTTTGAGGTTATGTTTGCAAATAGGTACATAGGTATTAAAATAATAAAAAAACAAATAAGTTATATAGTAAACTAGGGAAATCAAGCCAAGTACCGAAATTATGTATTAGATTCAGGTATATAGAGCATGTAGATTAACATATGGTTGCCTGTTTTTAAAATTAATACACAAGAGTAACTTTTAAAATCAGGTATCATCTATGCATTTCCGGTTATAATAATAGCCGGAGAGCTGACAGCCATTTTTGAGTACATCCTTGAGGCACATTGAAAATATTATTGTTGATTAGTTGCGAATGTGTGGATGATGAAATGGCCGACCTGGCTGGGAGGTTGCGGGGCGTTAATGAGCTATGAATTTTTTAATTCGCAATTTTTCTCATGCAGAAAATGTTCTTGAGGCACTTTGAATCTTACAGCATTTTAAAGTCTGATGTTTAATTAAACGATATATCATAATGCCAGGCGATTTGGTTGGGATTTAAATGGTGACAGGCGATTTAAAGTTATATTTTTTTTTGCGCAAAAAATGTACTTGAGGCAAGCTGGGATTTATACACAATAATTGTTGTGTTGATAAGATGCCATATATCAAATGACAGGCCGTTCTGGCGGTTATTTAATCTTGCCAGGTGATATCATTTTATTATTATTTATTATAAAAAAATAAATTTTTACAAAAAAATTTTGATATACTTTTTATGTAATTTTTTTTATTCATCGATATCTGATGGAATCTCCTCGTCGCTTGTGAACTCGTCCATAGAGTTGAGTTCTAATAACTCTTCTTCATTGTCTGAAAATAAATAAAAAAATTTAACAAATGTGAAATACAATCAATAGTGCGAGTATTTAACAAATTATTATTACATACCTGTAGCATTTTCATCAGAGTGTTCAAATGTCCCAGGATCAATTGCATCGATAACTAATTGCGGCATGCAATCCCCATCAAACCAATAAAAATCCAATTTATCCTCCTTCAGCTGCCATCCATGTTCAGTGGGTTCTAGGTTACTTGGAAAACGTAAATGTGCATTTCTCCAGATACTTGTAACATATTGAGCTCTTAAAAGCTGTTGGTGCAACTCTGCTTTACATGGTGGTAACGTAGACGGATCATAGTTTTTTACAGTTTTTTGAAAGGCTCTTCCGTGCTCTTAGCTTTAAATGTCTTGCAAAATTTTTCAAACCGTGCTATGTTTATATCTGCGATATTATTAACACCGTACATTTCACACACGAACTTCTCAAGCATGTTAAAAACCTCATTGCGTAAATCTGTCGTATGCGCACATCCTAGATCAATAAACGCTTTTTGATACAGTTTATTTTTCATTAATAGTTGGAAAGGCCTCCGCTTGCCTTTATTAAAAAATGAAGGATTGTAGTCACACCCAGTGACTGCATGAAAGCCAGGCAAACTTGCGCATACTGAATTTCCGAATTTGGCATATAATTGTGATATATCAATGAATCTTCTTCTATTTCCAGTGCCGTATTCCATAAAAATATTCAGTTGGTCGCTATCAAGATGATCCATGTTTCCAAGCATTATCAATAATACGTCTGTATCGCATGATTTTATGAGTACATTTGTTGTTGTATCTGCATCAATTTTACAGACATAATGCACTATTTTTGTGTCTGCTTCTTCATGATCTTCACATGTCATACTCTCATTGATGTTCATAAGAATTAAATTATCGTCAGCTTTGTATGAATAACAACGATCATAATTTTTCGTTAATTGTTGTATTACCAATAAACGGTATCATTTCATTTTGTGACCAATGATCAATGAAAAATTTGACTAAGGCTTGTTTAAATTTTATGTTTTTTTATTGTTTCATAAAATCTGTAGGCCGGATTTGACTGGGATCAGTAATATTGAAATCAATATTATTTTCTTCATTCCTTCGCGTACGTTCATAATCTTTGATAGACGGCGTGAAATACTGATCAAAAATAATATCAACACGTGAAGGTCTGGTAGCTGTTATCATTTGCATTATTTTTTTGGATATATTGCCAAATGAAGCAGGAATATCGGTCATTGTGTGCAACAAGAAAAATCCGTCAATGACAGCAACATCAAAAGTGTTAGGTACATTCTCACAGTTATGATCTTGTTTTGGACAATTACCGATTTCTGTGTTTGGTATATACTCCCATCCAAGCGGCACATGGACATCGGAATAGGAATAATTGGATAACTTAAAATTTTTACAATGTCAATTTTATAATCCATGGACAAACCTACCATTCGTCCAAACATATCACGTTGGATCTTAATTTCTTGCGTTTTATTTCCACTTCTTACAGTTCTTATGACGATGTCGGTCGAAAAACTCGTTATTTTCACTCTTGAAATAGACTTTTCAAACCGCACTCACTCGCACTCACAGGCAACTATTATTATCACCTGGCAAGATTAAATAACCGCCAGAACGGCCTGTCATTTGATATATGGCATCTTATCAACACAACAATTATTGTGTATAGATCCCAGCTTGCCTCAAGTACATTTTTTGCGCAAAAAAAAATATAACTTTAAATCGCCTGTCACCATTTAAATCCCAACCAAATCGCCTGGCATTATGATATATCGTTTAATTAAACATCAGACTTTAAAATGCTGTAAGATTCAAAGTGCCTCAAGAACATTTTCTGCATGAGAAAAATTGAGAATTAAAAAATTCATAGCTCATTAACGCCCCGCAACCTCCCAGCCAGGTCGGCCATTTCATCATCCACACATTCGCAACTAATCAACAATAATATTTTCAATGTGCCTCAAGGATGTACTCAAAAATGGCTGTCAGCTCTTGGGGTATAAGGTATTCTGTGACAGAAACTGTTTGGTGCTGATTGTGAATGAGCCACAGATTAGAGATAATTTTTAAACTCTCGTTAACCAAAGAAAGCTGATAGATTTAGGTTAAACAGCCATATCTTCAGTAGCTTAATTATTTTTGTTATGTTTATATTATAACCATATTTAAGATTTTTAATACACCTTATAATGTGTTCATGGAGATGTTTGGCGAAAAATGTATGGCAATAGACTTTTATGATGGCGCCTACCATCTATAATAATTGTCTGAGCACATTTGCATCTAGTGAAAATGATAATATAGTTGTGGATATTAACCACAGTGTAATTAAAAAAAATATTATTTATCGATCTTTACAAAATAAATTTGTTTTGATATTATATAAACAACTTCGATCTATTAAAAATGATTCGTATGTTTTTCAAACCGGTAAAATTAAAATTTCTTTGTATTAAAATGAATATACCTATTATACAAAGGTGTCCGTTAAAATCTAATGACTGTAAAATAAAGTATAAATCACGCCAAGAATTACCGTATATGTCAATATTTTTTGTACATTTCGGCTATTTTGAGCAATCTCCTTTATGATTTTTCTTTTTTTTGAGTGTGTATGCTGTTGGTCGCAGATGACCTTTACAGCGTCACCGGGTTTGGGGACGGCGAGATCCTAAGGGGACCTCAAGCCGGAAACTGGCGAGTGACTCTAGAGGTATTCCAGGCGGATGGCATCTCCTCACGAGGGGAGTCTCCTCTCCGTCTGGAGCCTCTAGACTACTCGAACCTTAGAACTTTATGAAGTGTGGGCGTGTGTGCATGTGTGTATGTTTGTGTCTGTGTGTGTTAATTGATCTTAAGACATACCTGCACAGTCTTCTCAGGCAGATGTATCGCGATGTGCTGTAGGTAACTGCTCTTGCGGTGGAAGCCAGCCCCACATTCTGAACACACGTATGGCTTCTCACCGGTGTGTAAGCGTTCATGGATCTGATGGTATAGATAGAAGGAAATTATGACGTTAAGAGCCCTTTTACAAAATTGCGCCGCTGCCGTACTGATCGGCGTGTAGGTAGATTTGCACTAGTATATATTGCATTTTACGGGTGATGTTTCGAGTCTTATAAAATAACTAGTGGCCCGCCTTCGCTTCGCTTCGGTGTAGAGCTGTAGTTTAGATTATATTTTTGTTCTCAGGTTTCTATTAAACACAAAACTTTCTTTAAATACCTAAAATAAATAAATAAATAAATAAAGACACGCGCCGCCGCCGGCCCCCCGGCCAGTACTGCCCGAACCGGTATGTTCCTGCATTTTAAATCTGTAATATCTTCGAAAATATTCATTTAAATTACATGCTGTAGAGGGTTATATTGATCTATATTACACGCACAATGTATTTAAGGTACTTAATTGGATAAGGATTAATGCTGTATTGCTTAAAATCGCTTGTTCGTAAATAAGCCATTATTTTCTCGTAATAAGTAATTAAAAAATGGTTATTGTGGGTTATACCAAAGAGATAGGCATATACCATCGCGGACTTTTTTGTAGACCTTTTTAAGGTGTACAATACTGTAGTACATTATTTTGATCTATCTCGTTGGGTTCAGCCAGCGTTTGCAATGTAAGCGCAAAAAAATGTGTTTATTTACGATCTTATTATTATTAAAAACCTCTAAAATTATCAGTGTTTCTCTACTATATTATGCATGTATTATACATATAAACCTTCCTCTTGAATCACTCTATCTATTAAAAAAAACCGCATCAAAATCCGTTGCGTAGTTTCAAAGATTTAAGCATACAAAGGGACATAGGGACAGAGAAAGCGACTTTGTTTTATATTATGTAGTGATTATTAATGAACTAATTATAAAAATATATACATATTTCTGTAGTTCAATGATGGTAGATTAGTTTTATGAAAGTTTTTGATAGTAATCTTATTTAATTCAATATATAAAATACGAGATAAACCTGCATTGTTTTTTGGAAAAACTTACGGAGGTTAGATTTTTTTTTTGATCATTAATGAGATGCAAAATCAAAATTCTAATACATTATGTTACAACAAAAACATATCAGCTCTATACCGAAGCGAAGCGAGGGCGGGCCACTAGTTATTAATAGTAATAAAATAAGTAATCCTTTATGCACACTTATTCAACACACATTCTGACGACGACCTCCGTGGCAGAGTGGTTAGTACGCCGGGTTTCATGGTATCGCCGACTCGAGAGGTCCCGGGTTCGAATCCCGGTGGAGGCAGATGTTTGTGTGATGAATACGAGCATTTGTACTCCAGTCATGGATGTTTAATATGTATTTCTATATAAATTTACTTATACAGGGTGTGACAAAAGTCCGAAATAAAACTTTAGGGTTTGGTTGTGTTCCTTATATAGAATTTGCTACGAAAGTTTGACGCCTTTCAGAACACTTTTATTTTCTAATTAAATTAATAAAAATATCGTTTTACACCTGCCTATGACTACCCTATAAATGCGTACGATTACTACTACCTAAACAGACCCCCCTCTCTCCCCCAGGCGCCCCTGCGCCCCGCTCAGATACCTACAAATTTTTATTTCGGAATACATACCTACAAATTTTATTTCGAAATTCTGTAACAGCCTGTATATGTATTTTATCCGTTATCCTAATATCCCATAACACAAGCCTTACAGTGCTTATTTTGGGGCTAGGCTAATTTTTTTTTTTTTTTTTGGTGCAAGTGTTGGAAATATTTATTCATTTATTTATTTATTCTACTTTTTGCTATGCTATAAAGATTTCAACATAACAGACTTACCTTCACCTGCTCTGCGTTTGAGGCTTTATAGTCGCAATATGAACATTTGTCAGTCTTCTCATAACCATGTTTTGCTCGACAATGCATCAGCAACAGCCTTCGAGTTATGAATTTCTTACCACAATGCTATAACAGACGGTTTTTTCATTTAATTAGGGTGACAAATAATAAGCTCGATAATGGAAGTGGTTAGGGTGTTCATCTGCTGTCGTTGAAATTGAAAAATTTTCACAGTGGTTGGTAATTGGATGGTGACCAAAAAATTATTAACTTAAACTCCTCCGTGTTTCAGAAGACATGTAAAACAGTTGGACCCAGCTGCATCTGCAGTCGAACCGCACTGGGCCATGTAGCGGATCATGGCCTAATCTTCCTATTCCATCCATAGAGAAGGCCTTTTTTTAATATCTGGGAAATGCTTTACCCATCCTTCAACCACCGGTGGAGCGAGAAGAAGGTATCTGAGACTCCTCCCTGTTTATATCAGCCAGCCCTTGACCCGGATCAAGGTTTCATTCGGCTCAAGGGCAATGCCGAGAATAGGGCCAGTAAAAACCAGATAATACTCCTGTACCAGTCACCCGCCATACATTCTGAGAACCGCATCATCCCCTCAGTGCACGCCAGGTCGTGGAAACCGTTGTCGACTGTCAGCAGACAGTTGGCAACATCCATAGGAAAGGCAGCAGTGCAGAAATTAATAAGCCGATGCTGAAGGGTGGCCAACAAGCATATCTCCGACCTGATGATATACCCATCGACAGAAACAGAGCTAATATGGTGGTTACTTTCCCAGACATGCTGATCATTTGATTTTCATTAAAAAAAATAATAGTTTTTCAAAATTAATAAGTAAGATATTTATCTAATTATTTTTTTTTTGTTTTATAATTTATTATTATTGATTTTTTTTTAATTGACTGATTTGTTTTTATTTAATGAATTGAACTTAATAATTTAATTTTAATATATTTTTGAAAATATAATATTTTATTTTGTAATCTATTTTAATGCCCTAACAGGGCCTACATTATGAACTACTTTTAAATACATATTATGTAAGACCTATGTAAACATGACATAATGCAATAAATTAATTAGTAAGAATTACCTCGCAGACAAAATCAAAACCGGTATGTATTTTATAATGATTCCTCATTGACAATTTAGATGTTAAAATCTTATGGCAATATTCACATTCAATCTCCTCTTTCACTCCTTTCTTCTCCTTGCTGCTCTTCTGTTCTTCTGAATTCTCCTTTTTGTTCCGTGCTTTTCTTTTTGCAGGCCGTTTTTCTGATGCATTCTTCTTTTTATTTGTACTTTTCGGTTTGTATTCAATATTATATGTTTCTTCTTTTGGGGTTATTTCCAATTCAATTTTTTCCTTGTCTATTTCAAAATTACTTTTGTGCTGTAAGTTACGTAATGGTACATCGTCATCGTCATCATCACAATCATTATTTAGCTCTGTAAAAGAGTCAAGAGTTGGCAGTTCGTTTTCTGTTTTAACTATTAAGAATTCTGGTTTGATAACTTTGAATTCTTTTCTTTCCAGCCTTTCGAGTAATTTTACTTGTGCGCTCTCCGCGTTTTTCTTAAAGTTACATATTTCTTTTATGAAGTTTATGCAGGTTGAACACATAAGTTGTGGTAAGTTGTCATTGGGCTCTATCTGTGCGAACAACAGAGGTGTATATAGTTAAAAAAATTGACAAAAAATATTCCTACTAAAAAAACTATTTTAAAAACAAATTCTGTTTTTTTTTAATTGACAAAGTTTATGAATTTACAAAAGTAAAAATTAAATTGAAATTGTTTAAATATTATAGACTGCATTTAAATTTCGTTACTTGATTTATTTCCTTTATTTTCTTACGATAATTCCAATTACTTACATTAATTCCAATTGCTAAATAAACGACATCAATAAAGTTTTCGTGCCCACCATAAATGGGACACAAACTTTCATTACTTAAACAAGTCCTACAGCAGTCCCAAGTTTCCATTACAATAAAATCATGTATTATTAACACCTAATTCTTTTGTAAGTGAAAGTAATAATTTAAATAAAACTAGAATAATAGGAACGAACAAACACTGGCTAAAATCTCTGCATTCTCTGAGTACTCTTTGCTTTGATTCTCTGCTTGGTTTGACATTTGCGTTTAGTTTTTACAATCAATCAGCTCCTAAATAAAGTTTGTTGTCAGGTCAACATTGTTAATTAAGCAAAATATTCGCAGCTAGATATATCTCTACATTATAATTACACCAATCATACTATACTGAATTTCCAATTTCTATTTTAAAAATAATGCTTACACACACTTTGCGACAACAAAACGTAGCGTGAAATTTTTTTCATTTCCGGACGTTAGGTACTGCGACGACAGCCCGTCAGGTTATAACAAAAGTTCAAAAATTTGCAACAGACTTTGAACTTTGTGCTTTTGTTATTAAGTGTAAAAAAGGTTTGGCAAATTATTACAGTCCTGTATAACTTAAACGATTGCTGATGTCTGTACCCATCGAAATGCAATCAGCTGTTATTGTTTATTGTTATTTCGTTTATTGCCGTGTTTTTTTGGCCCATTTTTGGCCGTTTCTTTGATGAATTGTTAAGCAGGAAGAGATCTAAATTAATTATTTATAAGTAATCACTACGAAGAAATAGAATACTCTTGAAAGGGTTAAAAAGTGCGGCCAGCAACCCTCATCGCAATAAATATAACATTGGTCTCAGACCATACTTTTTATTTGATCTGAGACATTGGTATTATCTAGTCGTTTAAACTGCATGTTTCTCAATAAAGTATGTTTTACTCTTGAGCAGGAAAAGAAGTGCTTAATAATGTAATTAGTTTAATAATGAATAGCATGGACTGCTGTCGAACATGCTTAAGTACAAGTGACTTAAATCCAATTTTTTATGATCTATCAAGATGTGATAATTACTCTTATATATTAAAGTTAACCACAGGACTGAAGGTAAATTCTTATTTTGGTAAAACTGTACTTCTAGGGCCCAAGATAGGTAATACTTGAATTGTTTTTAGGGTTCCGTACCTAAAAAGGAAAAAACGGAACCCTTATAGGATCACTTTGTTGTCCGTCTGTCCGTCCGTCCGTCTGTCAAGACCGTTTTTCTCAGGAACACGTAGAGGTATCAAACTGAAATTCATATATAATACTCAGGAGTACTGTCCCTTGGAGCTGCGAAAAAATCAAACTTCTAAGCCAAAGCAATCAAAAGATACAGCCGTTTATGTCGCAAATTTTCGAAACTCGCATGGGAATCAAAACCTACAGGGTACTTCCCGTGAACTTAGAATCTTGAAATTTGGTATGAAGTAACGTCTTATAGTACAGATAAAGGAAAAATTGCGAAAACCGTAAATTCTTAGTTACATCCTATAATTTTTTTTTTTTAATAATTATTAAAATATACCTAGAGGTTTGTACGGAACCCTCGGTGCGCGAGTCCGACTCGCACTTGGCCGGTTTTTTGTAGGAAATGTCACTTAATTTTTTTTTCTGCCCCTTCGCCGCTAACCACACAACACTAACCTAACCTAACCTTGTGTATCACCACTTGGGCCTTGGAAGTACAATTTAGCCCTTATTTAAATTAAAAAATATATTATATATTAATGCATGTTGCATCAACCATAACTAAAGTGATTCTATCATTATTTTGGTGGTAAAATATAACATAAAAATAACTTTTAATAACATTATTTAAGAGTATGGGGTTAATAAATAAATAAAACTATATAATATAACTCTGTGATCCTGATCTCTGACAAATTCTTGGAAAAATTAAAATAAATAAAGCCTTGGTCTTACCCTGCCCTGTTTATTAGGGATATTTTCCCGCAGTAAAACGTAACCTATGTGTTAATCAAGGGCGTCAGATTCATCATCAGCCTATTAATGTCCCCACTGCTGGGGCACAGGCCTTCCCTATGGATGGAATAGGGAGATTGGGCCATGACCCACGGCGCGGGCCCAATGCAGATAGGCAGGTGCTAATAACTGCAGATGCAGCCGGGCCCAACGGCTTAACGTGCCTTCCGAAGCATGGAGGAACTCGGGATAGAAGATTTTTGGTCACCCATCCAATGACTGACCACTGCGAAAGTTGCTTAGCTTCAACGATCGCATCCCAACGCGCTAACCACTTGCGCCATCTAGCTCCTCCTTTTATTAAAATTGCTCCAGCGGTTTAGATGTAAAGAAGTAAACAAACATACACACTCACACACTCACAAACTTTGCCTTTGTAATATTAGTGTGAAATTTGATCTACATTACAAAATTTGTTAATCTTATACACTAATAATTATGGTCCCCTGAAAGGGTGAAGGCCTCCTCCATTTCCTTCCGTGTACCTGTGGCTTGCTTTCTTGGTCCAGTCTGACCGGCTATGTTGACTATGTCATCTGCCCATTGTTTGTATGGCCTGCCAATGACTTAACTATAAGAAGTATAAAGAAAATATGACTAGAAAAAATTCCTGCCTGGCCCGCGTGGAATTTTTTCTAGTCATATTTTCTTTAGATTTAAACATCAAGCAGTTACATGCTTTAAAATTATAAAAATTGTAACTACCTATAAGAAGTATTTTTTTATAGATAGGTCTGACAAATGACTCCACCCCACCTGATGTTAAGTGACGATGAAGTCCAGATGCGAAGATACCTAGCTGTACTTAGTCTTAGTAGTACGGCGGGCTGTTTCCGCACCTCGACACCTAGTGCCTATTTTGCGTGGGGATTGGCATCTCATCTCCTCCAGAAAGCTCAGCAGTCTCCGAATGTTGCTGCCTCTACTGTCTTCGGACTTCCCATTAGAGAAGTCCTTTGTCTTGCAACGCCCTTGCACTCCAGTAGGCCATGGGCGCTCGTTTCATCGGCCTCCAGGCAGGCTCTGCACAGAGGGCTGTCAGAAATACTAGCTGTACTTAATTAAATTTTCAGATTCAAGAGGATGATAACCTACCACACACAATGTGCACAGATTGCATTAAAACCGTCAACAAACACATAAAATTCTTAGAGAAATGCCACAAATCGCAATCAGTTATACAAAACAGAATCAACAATGGGTCTAATATGTGTGTCACCGACAGCGGTGTAAGAGATATCATGACTCAAGATACAGATGTTTCTGACGATGAGAAAAACTTGTCTGATGATTTTAATGAGAGCAAACATGACGATAAAAATATTTGCAATATCTCCGTCAACAACTCAACAAGTAGTAATAATGTAAATTTAGATAAGTGTGAAATAACTGTTGAACAACTATTAAAAAAACCATTGAATTTTACATTCAGAGATGTACCAAGAAAGAAAGTCAAACTAGAGTATGATGAGAGCACTGTGCCTCCTAAGCAGGATGTCGATGATAAAAAGGAGAAAATGGCTATACTGCAGTGCAAGATTTGTAAGAAAGTTCTGAAAACAAAAAATTCGTTGAGTTGCCATTACAAGATACACTTTGGACCTAAAGTTGTGTGTGAGGTAATGTATTTCACATAAATAGAGATGATGACAAACATTTTTTTCCGCATCACACATGCACATGATCAATGTGCTATCATTGCAATTGAGCATGAAAATAGTGCGACTAATTCAGTGGTTCTTAACCGGTGGTCCCCGGAAGCAACTGAAGTGGTTTGCTAAGCCATTCGAAAAAAATACCTATTACATAAGTAAGGAAGCATGAGTGCATTTTTTTTTAATAATTTATTAGACAGATTTTTAAATCTAAAGAAAAATATGTTAGAAATCTCTTATCTATTAGACAAGTCCGTCCGTCCGTCCGTCCGTGGTGCTGATAAGACTACAAACCGGATTTGAGTAACGTAGCACTTCCGGTTTTCGAGAAATCACGTGATTTCTATTTCAAACGAAACCACACAAAATCTCCGAAGTTCTCAATTAATTAAATACATATTTTTTTTTTGGTGAACATTTGGTTCACTGGTTTGCTAGTATAACTATAATCGCTAACTCTTCTTTCAAATGTTTAATATTTGTAAAGGTATTCATTTGACATTGTGGGTTACCTACAATGCGCAGAGATGGCGCTGCCTTGCAGCCTAAGAAAGGTTAGAGAAAATTCGACACGGCCATCAGGGCCGCGGTAGCATTATGGTCAGTGCATTCGCCCGGATAGCGAATTCCGCGGATTCGAGTCCCATCTGTTGCCTGGTCCGCGTGGTTTTTTTTCTAATACAATTTTCTTTAGATTTAAGCAATGACAGTTAAATGTTTAAAAATTAAAAATATAATTATTGCTTGTTATCCAGCATTGTGGAAGGAAGTTCATGAGCAAACGCCAACTGCTGATGCACTGCAAGTCCAAACACGGCTACGAGAAGACGGACAAATGCAAATACTGCGACTACCGCGGCAGCAACGCTGAACTGGTCAAGGTGATATATTTGAATTTTTCTTTTAAGCATTTAACTGCTAGATGTTTAAATGATGACCTGGCTGACTCTTCCATACGCATCGGACTACGGATGAACTTGGATAAAACCAAGGTCACGTTCAATGAACATGTTCTACCGGATTGCAATACACGGCACCGTTCCCGAAGTTCTTCAAAAATATGTGTACCTCGGGCAGACATTGCAGTTAGGTAGAAATAGGGCTGCCATCCGTCCGGGTTTCCCCGGATTTGTCCTAGTTTACGGGGCGTCCGGGGAGCGTCCGGGCGGGGTTTCATTTGTAGTCCGGGTTTAAAAATTTACGGCAACGCATGAAAGGCCCTTGGTGCTGCAAGTGTCCATGGGCAGTAGTGACCACTTATTATGAGGTAGACCGCTAGCTCTTTTGCCTAGATCAAAAGTTGATTTGTGATATTTTTAACTATTTTTATTGGTCTGTCCGGGTTTTGGGCTCCAAAATCCGGGGTTATCACGCGTCTTATCCTGGTTGCCACATTTTAGAGATGGCAGCCCTAGGTAGAAACAACTTTGAGGACGAGGTGAATAGAAGAATTCAGATAGGTTGGGCAGCGTTTGTGAAGCTACGTCAGGTCCTGACATCGTCGATCCCACAGTGCCTAAA